AAAAAATAAAAAGAAGCAACCCCTATCAGCCGTCCCCTGGCCCCAGTGATGATCTTGGCTGTCTCCCTAACCTGCACTCTTTAGACCATTGTCTATCAGCTATACATATTCCCTAATCCCAGAAACTAGACCCAATTATTCTTTTGAAATAAAGAGGATTCTGACTTCAATTTTCTATGGATCCAAGGGTCCTCCTTTGACAGCTATGTCTGCTTTTGCTTTTACAAATGAATCCAAGTATAAAAATAAACACTGTTGTATATATGTGTTGGAGGAATTGGGTGGAGATGGTTACCTTTATTCTGTTTCTCATATTTCAAAAACCTTTAGAGAACTTCACAAGGATTTTGTTCCATAAACTGGACATCCATGTGGATGACCAAACACCTTAGCCTCTCAGTTTCTTAACCTCCTCATTGCCAATGACCTTCTTCTACACTCTGGCTCAGCCACCCACTCCCCACAGCTCCTCTACTTTTAAAGTCATCAGTCAGTCAGGCTCTCTCCAAACACCACCTCCTACCCTTCCAGCCAGATTTTCCGATCTATCTTTGATCTCACTAGTACTTCCTCCCTAGAACCCAAACCGCTCCCCCCAACCATTATCTCTTCCCTCCTTATGCCCCTCTGATTCCATGGTTCATCATTTTGGGTACCCTTTTCCAAGTGCCCTAAACTCCCTTGCTCCTTTGTCCCTCTGTGGCATCTCCTTGGCAAAAACCCTAACCCAGAATGATCCTCATCGCATGGATCTGCCATGTCTGCTCCCGAACAGCTGAATGCTGCTAGAGAAAATCACACATCAGGGAGACAGGATTCTTGCCAGATTCATGGTCACCAATCTCAATGGCCCCTCAACACTTCCAGCATCAAGAAATACAGGTAGAGTGGGGTAATATCTAAGGAACAAGCTCTGGGGATTCTGAAAAGAGACAAATAAAATAGATCAGTGCAGAAGAGAATGAGATGAGAAGAGTAACTTGGAATCAAAGGAAAGAAAGAATTTCAACAAGGCTTCACTGCCATTGCCTCTTTTGAACAAAACTCTTCATGTCAGGCCACTGTATGGATGGATCACCAGCCAACCGATGGAGGAACAGCCCTAGGGTCAAGTGCTCATCCTGATCCAGTCAGTGATTGTCCTGTACAAAGTCCCGCTTGGTTCATCTCCGTTGCTGGTGGGTTAAGGGAATGGCAGTTTCAGCTAGAAAAGGTCATTCACTGAGCCCAGCAGACGTGGTGAAAGTATGATGAAGGGTCAATAATCTTAAGGACTTGAAGAGGCCGAAGAACAGTTTGGTTGAAGTGAGGAAACAGAAAAGGTAGAAGGATGGGAAGTTGCAGTCTGAAGGTGGGGTACCAGAATTAAAGTTACCAAAGGTCAGATAGGGATGGGTAAGGACAAAGTCCAAAGTGTGGCCATGGGAGTAGGGCACAAAAGTGAAGTAGAAGTATGATCATTGGAGTATTAGAGTTTGTTGTCTCTGGTCTCCCTAGCCAAATTATGAGCTCTCAAAGGACATTCATCTTTTCGTTTATCTATTTATCCATGATATAAAACTTTGCATATAGTAGGCACACGGTAAATAAATAATGAGATAGGTATTTAAGCTAGCTACTGGGGATGCAGTGGTCAGCAGAAACAGACATAATAATAATCCTCATGGACTTCACTATCTTGTGGAGGAAGAGACAGACATTAACCAAATAATCAGAAAAATGATATAAAATTACAAGTGGTAAAATGCTTTCTGAAGTTAACACGGCACCATGATAACATATCATAAGAGGATCTGGCCTTGTCTGGGGGAGAGAAGGAATCACTGAGAAGTGAGATCTGAAGGATAAGAGGTAGTTAGCCAGGTAAAGAGGTGGGAGAAGCATGAACCAGTGAGAGGCAACAGTATATACAAAGGTCAAGGTGCCTAGAGCGCAGAGACCAAAAGTGAGAGTTCTTGGAGATGATCTTGGAGAGGGAGGCAGAGGCCAGATGATGATGTCTTTGCGTCAGGTGTCCTCCATCTTCCTGCCTAACTATACCCCTATTTTGTTCATATGGCAAGGAAAAAACCATGATTGGTGCAAGCCAACCCAAGAAATCTCATTTCCTCTTGGTCTTGAGGCCACGCAAGATCCAATGTGTACAATCAGATCTAAAAAGAAGTCTTCTGCAGCCCTTGTAGGAAAAATTTTCCTCCCTAAAGTGGAAAGTACATAAAGAAAATGCTCCTTTTCTTCCAACCCTTCTCTTGAGATGCTTGTGAAAGCATGATGCTTCTGGCAGCAAATTTATGGCCACAGAGAAAAGGCCAAGAAAATCAGAGATAAACTCAATGTTCGAACATTACTGAGTCATCAAACCAACTCTGGAACTGCTTCACTTCAGGCATCTTGCATGATGTTTGGTAAATAAATTATAAGCCTGTATTGTTGAGTGTGTCTTGAGTGTTGCAGTTAAAAGCAATCCTAATTGTATAGCAATTTTCAAATTCCATCATAGAAGAGAATCATATAAAATGCTTTATATTATCAGTCCTATTCTCTTTACAAATTTAAGATGGTTCAGACCACCACCAAATCAGTGATAGAAAACAGATTTTTCTCTGGTATCATTTTAACACAATCTAAAAGGCACTTTTGTTATTATTACTTTTCCTGTGTACAGCTTTCTCCTTGCTTCCCTTGAATTCTTTGTTCCAGAGAAGAAGTACAGCAAGGATGCCCCGAAGTGATGTCATTGATGTCATTCCTTCACTGGTGACATCGACAAAGGCATATTCACTTTGCTCGTGGAGAATAAGCATGCAACATGTAGTGAGACAGCCTGCATGTTGGTAAGTCATGGTTTTGCTTCTAGGGCATAATCATAATCAGAGCTGAATGGGTGCTTAGAGTTTTTGATGAAGGGACAACCGTGGGATTATGTTCAGAACAACCTATGCAGTGTCACACAGTTGGTGGCAGAGCAAGCCAAGCGCCCAGGCCAACACATCCCAGCCCAGGACTCAACACAGCAGTGGGTACAAAAGAGCACATGCAGGCTTTGGAGTCAAGGCAGACCAGAGTGTGATTTCTGTGTGTCACTTACGAGCTGCATGACTTTGAGAAGTTATTTTTTTCTCTCTAAATTTCAGTTTCCTCCTTTGAAAATTAAGGAATCATAATACTTATCCTGCAAAATTGTTGGGATTAAATGAGATATTATGTGTAAAAGAAAAATTCCAGTAAGTCTTAGATTTCTTCATGTAATATGAACACTTTGGTTGTGTTTTAATTGAGAGGCTGCAGAGCTAAAGAGCACTTTGATGACGGAGCAGCATAATGAGCAAAGTCATGGAATAACTCATTTGATCTTCCCAAGGAGGAGCTGATGGCTTTTTTGCAGCAAATATTTTACTGATACCTTGTTTACAGGTCACTGGAGACTATAAAGGAAACTAGACTTGCATTTCATAGGTATGTTTACTTCTCACAAGTTTAGTATTTGGTGTTTGTGCCAATTTTTGGTTGCTCATAAGTTTTTATTTTATAGATAGCATCTGCCATACAGATAGCTTTCCTAGGTACCTGTAGGATACAGTAAGCTTCTTCCTCAAAGAGCTTTGTAATACTATTGGGAAAATATGACCCCAAAATCCTGGAACAGGGTGGGATGGGTGGGTGAATAGATGTATAGATAGATGGATGGATGGATGGATAGATGGGAAGTCCATCTGTCTGACTAACTGGTTTATGTATATCCTTTCCAAAGGAACACAGTCTTAAGGTAATTTTCTCTCTTCCTCTTTTTGTTTAGGTCTCTGGATTATGACAATGGGCTATCTGTAGCTTTATAGTTCCTGGATAAGTGGAGATCAGCACAAGTTTTCTATAAACTACCTAGAGTAGCAACTAGTAATTTCTGGTTGAAGACCAAATGTAAAGATGCTAAAGACTATTTCCAAAGTAGTCGAAAGCTAGCCCAAAGAAACATACAAGGAAATACATTCCAAGAAACTATTTCACCTAAATCAAACAAAACCTGTCCTGTGCAGGAAGTGAATGAAAAATTAATCATTTCTGCATGTCTGAAGGCCAGCTAGGTCTGCTAAATAAAGGAACCAGTAATACCTGTACCCTTCCTAGGGTGGAAAAGGGAAAAACAGAGAAATAACTTTTGTTGAATGCTTACCAAGATCAAGCACTGTGCTATATGCTTTTTATATGTGAAATCTTACTTGATATTTTAAAAAATCCTGTGAGGTCAGCATTATCCACCCCATTTTGCAGATGAGGAAACAGACTCAGAGAACTTAAGTAACCAGCCAAGGCTACTCAATGAATATATGTAGCAGAGCTGATTGAAGACCGGCTACACTAGTGAAAATAACGATTAAAATACATACTTTCACTTATAAAGGTGATATAAGAAGTTAAAATTCATTAGCCACTTCCTCTGTTCCCCTAAAAAATTTTAATATCAATGGAAATATGCCTAAAGCCCTTTGGTGACCAGATACCACTGAGTAAGTGTAAGAATGGCCATTCATGGTAGTCTGCTTATTTTTAAGATTTGTTGGGTGGCTGTGCCACCCTGTTGATGACAACTCTATTATGGACGAATGAGCAAATCTTCCTGGAGACCCTTGGCGTGTGCAAGCATGTTGGAGAAGCCAGGCTTTTGTTTCCTCATCTGCCACAAAGAAATCCTTTCTGTCTTCCCCAGGAGGACATTGGGAAGATACTGATGGGTGGGAAACAGAAGAATTATTTCAATGGTAGTCACTGCAGGGGGTTAAGGCTGAGCTGGCACTGTCCTCAATAAGAGTCATTGTGACTATGGTCCAAAATCTGCAGGAATTTTTTTTATTTGTTTGCTTTCATTTTTCTTTGCCAGACAGCTAGAATGCCAAGGGCAGTTCCGTGCCAAGCCACAGGAAGAATGAAAGCCCAGGACTTCCCCTGGGACACCAGCTTCCATTTCAACTTGGGGCAAGAGTGAAATCTGCCACAAGGTAGAAGTTTGGGAACTTCCTGTTGATTTACATTTCAAACAGAGCTTGTACTTAATCTTCACCCTGGCTCTCAGAGCTCAGAGTGAGCAGGGGTGAGTTCAGGAGACTCAGGGACAGGGCCCTCTGCTGAGAACTGAACGAGGGACCGCCTGGCTTCCAGTAAGTACTGCTTGGTGTGATTGGTTTGGGTTCTCAAGGCTGTGGGAATCTGGAAGCTTAATTGAACAAAATTGCTATTATGGGCTATATCTTCACACTTGGGCTATACAGTCAGAGAAAAATAGAACCTCTTGGTATCACATTCATCGAATCCCAAATGACATTACAATGAACAGGTTAGGCAATGATAGTGGGTAGATTCTCCTGAAAGAGATCAAAGAGCTAAATCTGAAAGGCTTTTTTGTTTGGGGGCAATGACAAGAGATGCAAGTGGAACTATGAAAAGATCTCATTCTTTTTTCTTAGATAGGAGGAAGAGCAAAGTGGTTCAGACACCAACTTTCAAGTTAGAATTCTGCCTCTGCTTCTTTTTAACTGTGTGATCAAAGGCAGATTGCTTAATCTCTGTAGTAATGGTTTCCTCATCTCTAAAAAAGATGTATCATTGTAAAAATAGTGTAAGCTTTATAGTATTGTTATGTTATATATATGAAATTGAATGAGATTTCATTTATATAATATATGTTACTACAATTTTACTTATGTGATATAAGCAAAATTTATGTAATAGATTTCATATATATGTGTATAATGAATTTCATATATATGTATACACATACTGGATTTCTTAGGTTAAAAAATAAAATTACACTGAGTAAATTTTAAAGATCTATTGGCTTTATTCAATGATTCATGAATCAGGCAGCATCTCATCTAATAGATAGAAAGGAGTTCTGAGGAGCCGTACAAAATGAAAGACTTATTGGCAGAAGGCAGCGAGACAAGGAAGTTGAACTAGGAAAAAGCGAATTCTTTGCGACAAGGTCTCCTCCTTTAGGGGCAGAGGTCTGTCAGGCAGATGGCTTCACCAGTACTGACTAGGTGATTCCTGAGTGACTGAGTTAAGATTCTATTTCTAGGAGAGACAAAACTGTAATAGTTAAGTATTGTCTCAGTTTGGTGATGGAGGCTTTAACATAAGTGACTCCATTTTGGGGCTGTTGTCTTGTTTTTAACACAAACACATAATGTGAAATTCATATAGATAATATTAAATATATGTACATTATATGTATACAATCCTGTGTGTGTACATATATATGAAATCCATTATGTACATATATATGAAATCTATTGTACATATTTTGCTTAGAAGTGCCTGGAATGTATTAAGTACCCAATAAATGCTAGTCATTATTAAACAATCAGAATCATAGAATATCTGACCTGGAAATGATCTAACAAGTACCATTTATTGAGCACCTATTAGATATTGAATGCTCCTTGCCAGCTTCTCTCAGGTGATGCTGACGGCAGTCCTCTGAGGCTGGTAGTATGATCGCTTCCATTTTACAGATGAAGACACGGAGGGGTGGAGAGGTGTTGCAATGTACCCGAGGTCACATCTCTTATAAGTGATGGAGAGGACGTTTAAATCCAGATCCCAGAGTTAACACGCTGCCGCCTCCTGTGTCATCGCATTTTATGGTGGGTCGGGAGGTGAGGAAGGAGCATCCCTACGTGTGACTTCGGAGCCTTTCGCAGGCCCTGGGAGGCCAGAGCTGTCCTCCGAAGCTCCCTTTGCCGTCCACTGTGTGCAGGGAGCACGAGTGTTGTCGGGAGTGCCCACGAGCATCAGTGTAGAGCGGTGTGGGATTCTGCCAGGGAACCTTACCCACGTCCCATGGCTCTTCCTCCCTCAGATGCAGTTTTTCATTTGTAAAATGAGCGATCTCACGGGACAGTTCTGAGACACCAAAGCAATCATGTATACAACACATTTTATAAACTGTAAAGGCTTTACAAATAATTATTTTATCAAGAAGAAAAATGATTTTTGGCTTTTTAACAAAGAGCTTGCAGTAAACACACTGCTTTAAAATGTCACCCTCAGTTAATCTCTCCAGCACAGTCGTCTGATCCGATCCAGGAACGCCATCGCTCACTCCATCACTCACGAGGCTCAACGCCCCGTGGGAGGGGTGGCCAAGTGCCACAGGCATGGATGGAGGGAAGGGTGGTGAGCTGAGAACCACCGGTCCCTAGTTCTGCCTCAGGCATTGAAATCCCTGAAATTGGAAAGAACTTCATGGATTTGATGCACAATCTCAGGGGTGAAGTTTTTTTCTAATGTCCGTGGTTTGGGGGAAGTGAGAAAAGTTTTAGGTAGGTTGTATTCCTCTTCCTTGTGCAGAATTGCTCTCTCAGGGAACAGTGGCCTTCAGTCTCGATGGCCTGGCACCTCTCCTGGGGTTACAGCTCATTGCGCAGAGTTAGCTGTGCTCCTTGCACCAGGCGAGGGTGGGGGGCACCAGTTCCTCAACGTCTGCCTCCAGACACCCCAGAAAGGTCTTATCTGTGATTTCCTTCGGTACTTGTTATTTGTTCAGATAATCACTATTGTTCCTACCCAGGGGATACCTCAATAGAGAAAACTTTTCTCTGGTCAAGGAAGGTCTGAGTTCAGGGTCCAGGAAAGCCCCACTGGTCTTTAAATAGCTCCCACAAGCCTCTGACAAATCACCGAAAGAGTGCACTTTGAGAACTTGTGGTCTTAACCTTAAGACTTTCATCTTCATTTAAAATATATATATAGATAGATAGATAGATAGTCATACATATATAGATATGGTTAAAGAATTGCTGTGAGTCATGTATACCTTAGGAGGAATGAATGAATTTATGGTGAAGAAAGAGAGGAGTCAGGAGGGGAAGAATGACTGTGCAGTTTGGATGGCTGAGGGCCCTTTGCCTCCTCCCCTTTCACTGCAACTTCCCTGGCACTGCCCTGTTCAGTGCTTCCTCCTATTTTGAGAGTCTGAATTCAGGTAAATATTGGCCACCAGCACATTCTTGTTTCAAAGATCACACCTGCTTGCAGCCCTCCACCCTGTGGGATTCCCCTTGTTGCAGGGTCAAGTGTGGGTCATGGGATCGCCAGCAGGCAGAGCTGTCCTGGAAAGGACTCACCTCTCAGAGTCAGTTTCACCATTCAGCCTCAGCCCCCCAAGTCGGGCAGCCTTGGGAACGGGCCACTCAGTGGCTGAGGAAGTTTAAGAACAGGAGTATTCCCTGATCCTTGCTCTTAGGAACTTCCTTCTGGAGAGAGCAAGTTCCTGGCATGGAGAAGAGCTTGTCTTGGACTTTCTCTTGGCCAGAAATGCTTCCTCAGTTGTATGTGATCCATAGCACCCTGCCTTCTGCCTGTTCTTGTCTCTCCTCCTTGGTGTTGCCTCCCCCAAGGCTCTCTTGTCAGAGCCACTGACGGAGCAGGAGCAGAGAAAGTCCAGGGAAGACGGCTCCTTCAGTCATCCTGATAACACCTCCGCAGAACTACCACTAGGTGAGCACAGGTTGTTTGGACATGTCCTCATTACCATGGCTACCGTCATCCTGGGAGGAAGAATGGAAAGGGGAAGGCTGATAACCCACCTCAGCAACACTCACAAGCACCATCCTAGATACTCAATGATCGAGTGGCTAGTCCGTGAAGCATACTGTTGTATGAGGACTAACTAACGCTTAACCCTTCTTTTTGACAGGTGAGAACAGACTGGCATAATGGAAGCCAAAGCTCCGAAGAGTCCAGGTACCCAAGGGCCATACTCTCAGAAGGAAAAGACTTTTTGTTGGAAATGACAAACGATTCCCATCAAACTAACCAGGATACAGAAGATGGTTTTAGTAGGGATAACGGGTGGCATTCTGGGACAATGACTCTTGGTTTGGAGAATGTAGCAGAGGCTGTTGGATTTATTAATTATTTGTAAGAGCTCTCCTATCTAGAAACTTGACGTTTTCTGATTTTCATGGGTCAAATGTTCCATTTTTCGCTTGGAGATGGTACTGACAACAAACTGTATTCAGAAAACACTGGAGAATATTTCCTCAGTTTTATATGAACTTCTCAGGTGGAGAAACTGCCTGAATTGTTATCAGGGCTTGTTATGGGAGTAGCTCAAGGTGTAAATGTTCTTGTTCTTGTTTACACGGTTCACTGCACGTGAGTGGTTAGAACGGCTGAGTTTAGGATGAAGTAACTTAGAAACCAAATTATCCAATTCAATTCAAAAATAAATATTTTCAAACATTTATTCAAAACACCTGTTTTTAGTAAGTCACTGTGCTTCATGTTGCAGTGCATGTACAGATTAATAGGAGTCGTTGCTCTCAATGACTTTCAACTTTGTCGAGAAGTTAAGACAAACACATACAATCAGGCTATGACAGGAATCATGAAATAAGTGCAAAATGCTGTGGAAGTCTAAAGAAGAAAAAGCATGCAAGTAGTTAGGGGGATCCAGAGAGGTTTTATGGAGAAGGCTTTTCAGCTGGACCCTAAAGGATGTGTCGGTTTTAAAAGAGAGCATATCTCAGCAGAAAGCGATGGCATGAACCCAAGCAGTGAAGTGGGCGAGGGCAGGATGTGTTAGAGGAGAACATGGATATAAAATAGGACGGGGGAGAATGGAAGACGAGGCTGCAGAAATGTGGCTTTATATTGTGCCAGACCTTGACCCCATATGACTAGCAACCCTTGAAGCATTTTGAGCATGGAGCATTTTGAAATAGCTTTATTGTGGTATAATTGACATACAGTAAACAGCACATATTTAAAGTGTACAGTTTGACAAGTTTCGATATGTGTATACGCCTGGGAAACTGTCACCACAATCAAGGTGGTGAACATATGCATTACTCCCAAAAGCTTTCCTGTGCCTATTCATAATCCTTCTCTCCAGCACCCAATCCCGCTCCCTATTGTTCTGCTTTCTGTCGCTCTAAATTCTTTGTATTTACTAGAATCTTACATAAATGGAATCCTACAGTATACACTCTTCTGATTGGCTTCTGTCACTCAGCGTAATTCTTTTGAGGTTCATCTATGTTGTTGCATGCATCAAGAGTTTCTTCCTTTTTATTCCTGACTAGTATTCCGTTGTGTGGACGTATCACAATTTGTTAATCCGTTCACCCGTTGGTGAACATCTGGGTTGCTTCCAGTCTTTGGCTATTACCAATAAAGCTGCTATGAGCATAAGTGACAATTTGGTGACATTTAGTACATTCACAGTGTTGTGCAACCATCACTTCTATCTGGTTCCAAAACATCACCATCAACTTTTCCTGTGCTCTTTGGCCATTTACATATCTTCTTTGGAAAAATGTCTATTCCAGCCCTTTGCCCATTTTTCAATTGGGTTGTTTATCTTTTTTGTTATTGCATTATAAGAGTTCTTTATATATTCTGGATACCAGAATCTTATCAGATATATGGATTTACAAATATTTTCTCTCATCCTATAGGTTGTCTTTTCGCTTTCTTGATAATGTCTTTTGATGCTCAAAAGTTTTTACTTTAGTAAAGTCCAATTTACCTATTTTTCCTTTTGGTGCTCATGCTTTTTTTTTTTTTGCTTTTTTTTTTTTTTTTTTAAAGCACAGATTTTTTTTTTTTTTTTTAAAGATTTTATTTTTTCCTTTTTCTCCCCAAAGCCCCCCGGTACATAGTTGTGTATTCTTCGTTGTGGGTTCCTCTAGTTGTGGCATGTGGGATGCTGCCTCAGCGTGGTCTGACGAGCAGTGCCATGTCCGCGCCCAGGATTCGAACCGACGAAACACTGGGCCGCCTGCAGCAGAGCGCGCGAACTTAACCACTCGGCCACGGGGCCAGCCCCTTGGTGCTCATGCTTTTGATGTCATATCTGAGAATCCATTGTTAAGCCCAAGATCATAAAAATTTACCCCTGTAATGCCAAAAACGGAGAGTTTTATGGTTTTAGCTCTTACATTAAGGTCAATGATTCATTTTGACTTAATTTTTGTTTATTGTGTGACATAGTGATCCAACTTCATTCTCTTGCGTGTGGATATCCATTTGTTCCAGCATGATTTGTTGAAAGAACTATTCTTTCCCCATGGAATGCCTTGGTGTCCTTGTCAAAAATCAGTTAGGGGGCCGGCCTGATGGCACAGTGGTCAAGTTTGCTCCCTCTGCTTCAGTGGCCTGGGGTTCATGGGTTCAGATCCCGGGCGCAGACCTACACACCACTCACAAGCCATGCTGTGCACTGTCGCACATACAAAATAGAGGAAGATTGGTGCAGATGTTAGCTCAGGGCTACTCTTCCTCAAGCAAAAAGAGGAAGATTGGCTACAGAGATTAGCTCAGGGCCAGTCTTCCTCACACACACACACACAAAAATTTAGCCATTGATGTACCAGTTTATTTCTGGACTCTCAATTCCATGCCATTTGTCTATGAATCTATCCTTATACTAGTACCACACTCTTTTGATTACTGCAGCTTTTGTAGTAAGTTTTGAAATTGGGAAGTATGAGTATACTTTGTTCTTCTTTTTCAAGATTGTTTAGGCTATCCAAGGCTCCTTGCAATTCTATATGATTTGAGGATAGGCTTTCCATTTCTGCAAAAACTGTCATTGAGATTTTGAGAGAGATTGCCTTGAATCTATAGATGTGGATCCAAGTTCATTTGTTTCTCATACGGATATCCTATTGTTTCAGTGTCATTTATTGAGATGGCTCTCCTTTCTACGTTGCATTGCCTTTGCATCTTTGTCAAAAATCAGTTGCCATGTATGCATGGGTTTATTTCCAGACAATCTATTTTGTTCCATTGATATATTTGTCTATCTTTATGCCATGTTGTTTTGATTATTATAGCTTTATAATAGTTCTTGAAATCAGGTATTGTTAGTGCTCTAACTTCGTTCTTTCTTCAGATTTGTTTTGGCTATTCTAGCTACTTAGCATTTTCATATGAATTTTAGAATCAGCTTGTCAATTTCTACACAAGAAAAAAGCCTGCTGGGATTTTGATTGAGATTGCATTGAATCTCTAGACCAACTTGAGATAATTGACATTTTAACGAGAGTGAGTCTTCTGATCAATGAACAAGGTATATCTCTCCATTTATTTAGGTCAATCCCTAAATAATTCATCTCTATCATTAATATTTTGAAATTTTGGGGGTACATCATTCACGTCTTTTGACGGACTTATAATTTTGATGATATTGTAAACAATATTGTTTTTAAATTTCACTTTTCAGTTGTTTGTTTTGCTGGTGTTTAGAAATACAACTGATGGGTTTTTGTATGTTGATCTTGCATCCTGCAACTTTCCTAAACTTACTTATTAGTTCTATTGGCTTTTTGTATATTCTGTCAGATTTTATACACAATCATATCATCAGTGAATAAAGTTTTGTTTCTTCCTTTCCGCTCTGAATGCTTTTTATTTCTTTTTTTAATAGCCTGATTGCACTGGCTAAACCCCCAGTAAATATTGAATATAAGAGGGGAGAGGAGACATTCTTGTCTGCTTCCTGATCTTAGGGAAAAAGCATTCAGTCTCTCACCATTAAGTATGATGTTAGTTATAGGCTTCTCAAAGATATCCCTGATCAGGTTGAAGAAGTTTCCTTCTATTCCTAGTGTGCTGTGAGTTTTTATCAGGATGTGTAATGACGATATCATAGAATGAGTTAGGAAATATTCCTTCTTCAATTTTCTGTAAGATTTTGTGTAGAATTGGTATTATTTCTTCCTTAAAAGTTTATATATTCTGGATACCAGATTCTTATCAGCTATATGATTTGCAAATATTTTCTCCCATTCTGTAGGTTGTCTTTTCGCTTTCTTGATAATGTCCTTTGGTGCAAAAAAGTTTTTAATTTTGGTGAAGTCCAATTTACCTATTTTTTCTTTTGGTGCTCATGCTTTTGCTGTCATATTTGCCAGTATAATTGGTTACTTGGGCCCAAAGTTCCCCTTGCATAAAGATTTTTAACTACAATTCCAATTTCTTTAATAGATGCAGAAGGTTAGTCAGGTTATCTATTTCTTCTTGAGCGACCTTTATTAGTTGGTATATTTCAAAGAATTTTTCAATTTCATCTAAGTTTTCAAATTTATTGGAATAAATTTATTCATAATATTTCTTTAGTATCCTTTTATCTATCAGTGGAATCTATAGTTATGTCCCCTCTTTCCTCCTGATATTGGTAATTTATGTCTTCTCACTTCTCATTTTTCCTGGTCTGTCTGGCTAAATAAAATACAGGTTTATTAATTTTATTGATCTCTTCAAGAGATCAACTTTTGATTGCATTGATTTTCTCTATTGTTTTTCTGTTTTCTATTTTGTTGATTTCCACTTACATCTTTATTATTTTCTTTCCTCTGTTTGCTTTGGATTCAGTTTGTTCTTCTTTTTTTAGTTTCTTAAAATGGAAGCTGAAGTAATTTATTTGAGAGTTTTTTTCTTTCCTAGTCGTTTAGTGTAATGAAATTCCCCCTAAGTACTGCTTTAATGGCATCACACAAATTCTGATATATTATGATTTCACTTCATCCAGTTCAAAAAACTTTCTGAATTATCTTTGAGTTGCTTTCTTGACCCAAGAGTTATTTATTTCAGAATTTTTTTCAGAGATCTTTCTCTTATTGATTTTCAATTTGATTACATTATGTTCTGAAAACATGCTTTGTATGACTTGGATCCTTTCAAATTTATTGAGACTTATTTTACGGACTAGAGTCTGATCTGTCTTTGTAAATGTT